TCTAACAGGCAATGCAGCTCTTGCATATTTCTGATAGCTGATATATAGTAATGTTAAATTTCCATCTTGATTTTGCTATAATTTGCTCATTTTATAATTATACATCATCTCTGCCATCCTTCTAAGAATCTAAATTTTTAAAAATTTGTGAAATTCGAAGTTCATATAATTTCAAAAAAAGAAGTTAATCCTTTAAATTTATAATAAATTCCTTTAACTAAAGGAATTTGGACCTACAAAAACGAAATATAAAGTGCATGAAAAATTTATAACTCTATTTAACTATAAACATTCTCACGATTAAACCATGTATAGTTTACAATTACCAGCAAAATTCGTCATAATGTTGTCATTCTAACACCACCTTTAACCCCACACCTGCTAAAACAATTGATCACCTGATGAATTTTCCCACCACAAAATGTATAAAAGCCCTCCTCCTTCCCCTCTCGGGGGAGTCACCAATCAAACGACCAAGACGGACATTAACTTCCCTTAGACCTACTATATGACATTAATTGGCCCCACCTCGCACCGCCTTTCAGAAATTAAAAGCTAGAGTATCCATCCGATATTATCCCAGAGGTATGAAATATTATTGTAAACTCTCTCTCTCATCCGCGAAGTCTAAGGAGTTTTGTAAATTTTTAATTAGTTAGTGCGTTAAGTAAACTGTTGTTTTGCTTTAAATGGTGTCGTTACTCGACTTTGCCAACGTCTTATCGTCTATCCCTCCGACTCTCCTCCACTCGCGTAACGCATAATTGAACGAAATGCCATCCTTGACAAGAAAGTAGGTCACCGACCTGTGGCCGGAAGGAGAGGACTTCCCAACCTCCCCGGCAGCTCACAAATATATAAACATATTTGACAATTATTATATATTGGAATCCCCACATTTCATAGTCATAAAACAAGAAAGACAATCTCATTTAAAGTAAATCGAACAAAAATATTTCTAGCACAATACCTAAAACTAATATAATTTTTTAACAAATTAGGAAAAATTTAATAGCTTTAATGATTTAATTAGTAAGAGATAGGCTAATATGTTCATAGAGGACGTTCCAAAGATGGCAGAAGCAGAGTTCTAACCAGATGGAGGGATATAGCTTTGAAGCATTGTATTTCTTCATCCACTTCGATCCTGCTTCTGCCATCTTATGGTCTTTCTCCTTGAATATATTAACTTATCTTCTTCACGGACATTCTGGAACTGGCAAAATAGCAACATAATTAGTAGGTGAAATAGAATGATGTATAAACTTATTAATTTTCTGTGAACTTTATTACTTTATTAAAAGTTATATATATTAAATGTATCTCATTGACTGTACCTCATTGATGGAAATGGTAGAGCATAAACAAAATTTTACTATAGTGGCCCTGCTATTATATATTGCTTGTAGCAATTCTATCATGGTGTTATTTTATTGAAGGTGTTTATTTTACTACATTGTTTACAAATAGATCTGAAATACAGTTGCTGTATAAAATAATTTACTGTAACTAATAATAACTTATGTAGTTTAAAATCCTATCATAAAGTCAGCTGAAGGATTATGTATTTTAAAATTTATATATTATATAAAATTGTGATTACTGTAATACATTGTTATTAAACTGCAAATATAAAATTATCAAAATATAAAATATAAAAATTAATTTAAAAATATCAGATAGATGTTCAGATTTCATTATGTGTTATATAACTTTTCTTATTGCATATACTGTCGACCCCCCCCTATAACACAGTAGATACGTTCCACTTTATAAGAATTTTGCGTTGTAGGAATCCTTAAATACATGAGCCAATCACAGCCTGGATGTGTGCAGTTTACGGACTACGGCTGTTTGAAAGGTTTTCTTCCATAAAATTAATCGATTCTAGACTAATTTGACTCAACATTTCCAAAACACATATAATTTTTGGGAATAATCCGTATAAACTATGCTATAAACAAAAAATTGTAGGATTACTTACCGAGGGTGCACCGTTCGACGACGCCATTGCTTAAGCTTGTTTTCTTTGCGGAGCAGCGCACCAAAGATGTTCCAAAGCATTGTATTTCTTCATCCACTTCGATCCTGCTTCTGCCATCTTATGGTCTTTCTCCTTGAATATATTAACTTATCTTCTTCACGGACATTCCACTTTAGGCGGGTACGTTTTCTGATAAGTTATTTTTCTGCGAAAAATTCGTTGAACTTTGGAGACATCATTAATAGAAATAATAGAGAGGTTGCAGCCAACGTTTTCAACTTGAAAACGTGTACGTCGGACGTTCAGCACCACTTTCCTATAAGCCTAGAAGTTTGACAATGGTGTTTGGATAGTCAGTGGAATTATGCTCGACATTCCAAACACCATTGCCTAACTTCTAGGTCTTTAGGAAAGCGGCGCTGAACGTCCGACGTACACATTTTCGCGTTGAAAACATCGGCTGCAACCTCTCTAATTTTTATGGCCGTCGAATAAGAAATGTTTTTTTCACAAGAAATGTATAAAATTACAGTACTTACGGTATTAGACTTACAATACCTAATTTATATACTGTACAGACGATAGTAAACTCAACTTACCCGCCTAAACTCTCTGTAGTGTGTAAGTAGTTCGGCTGCTCATCCACTATTGGTCCAGATTCGATCAATCCTGTCGCGATACGAGTCAGTGATGACGTTTTACCACATTTTATGAGTCTTTTAGTGTCTTTATATGAATACGGTCGCAATTTTTTCGCCGCGATACACGAATCCGCATTATATGAACCCGCGTTATAGGGGGGTCTACTGTATTTGTATCCAAGTCAGAATAAAAATAAAATTATTATTAGGGATATTTAGTTTACAATATCTTGAGTGATTATAATGTATTTGAAAAAGTGACAAATATGACAGAAATTTAAATATGTATCTTAGAATAATATTCTTGGTTTTAAAGAATAATCAATTTGTCATGGTTATGTCTTAGCACAGCTAAAAAATATGCTTTTTTGTTTATTTAACTAACAAATCAACTGTAATTAAATTGGCAAATTTTTTCTTAATTATTCGTGGTGCTTTGAATCTTCAGGATTTTTTCGAGAGACTCTTCTGAAGATTCTTTGAAAACAAAATTTTTCAATAAGGAAGATTGCCATTATGATATAACTTGAATTTCTCTCTTAGAATTGATCTAATTTGAAGTAGAATAAATAATATGCATGTAAATGCAATAAGTAATTAGTTAACAAAACTTGTTACTAAGATACTTTCTATTTTCTAATTACAGTAGAAAGAAATATGCTATTTTTACAAATAATTTCTTTTAAATGCAAAATATTTGTACAGTTTATTACAGGTTTCTGGTATAATTTGATGGATATGCACTTATCTTGTAAGTGTAAACTCTTGCGAGAGCCCGGACTTGACAAAAAATTTTAGAATAAAATTTTTGGAATCAAACAAGGGAATAAGGAAAAAATTTTGTTAAAAATTCTTTTCAAGGAAAAAATATTAAAGTATATGATTATATTTTTTCTCATGGACTTGCTTCCTTGTCCATAGCTGACAATCTAAATGTGTCACTTTTGAATGTATCACGAACCTAACAAAATAAATCACTATTTGATGTAGAACTTAACATTACCAAAGATGGGTATGAGAAGAAAGAGGAAAGACCCCAGATAAAATAGAAAAATTCGATGATGAAAAGGGAGTTTGTCACTCATCATTTCCCTCCAAGGAACTCGGATATGCTTATCCTGCCAATCATAAATCCATCATCCATGCTATCTGAACCTTTATCTTTCCAACTTATCATAAAGTGGTCAACATCAATCTACCTGACGTTCAGAATGTCTGACATCCTACAAACCAGAGGTCTTCCAAACTGCTATTCACTGGGTATCCACAACATCAACCTCTCTTCAACAAGCAAGGAATTTATTTTTTTTTGGCTACTTAAATACTCCAGCTATTTATCAGCATGCAATCGAATGTAAACTTTAACAACTTTCTCTCTCATGGTTAGGGACCAGCTACAATAGTCCTAATATCTATATATTTGAAATCCTAACTAACCTCCTATAGTTGTAATAATATGTAAAATCCATATATTTATAAATGGATATTTGTTCGCGTTAAATCTGTAGTTGAGTGGACTTTATTTGGGTGCGCTGTCTCTCAGACCTTCTTTATCCTTAATCCGACCTGCCACAGATGCAGTTCTCATTCATTGCTCGCATGAATGAGAACTAATGGTTTCTGTGTCTATTCAAAAGACAGTGTTGTCAAAATCCTGATGTGACATCTCAAAGTAGTGTCAACCTTTCGGTCAAGTGGTGTGGAAGCATAGGGGGCGTTTGCGCATTGTCACATTATTATAATTATGGTTCAATTGTATTGTGACATTATTGTCAAGATACTATTATTTATTAAAGTAAAAGTTACAGGATAAATGCACGAATGAAGAAAAATGATTAATGCTGAATATAAGAGTCTTATTTACTGTATTAGTAAACTATGAAGAGATTTTGATTGATTATTATTTCTCTTTCAGCAGTATAACTTACTTTATGACTCTGCTTTAATAGTTTTAAGGAATGCTATATTTTACTTTTAGCCATTTTGGGTATGATATAAAGTTAAAATTTTATTTTTGGAATTATTTATATTTACTTTAGTACACTAGTTACAAGAAACATTACAAATACTTGATGATAACTCAACAAACAGTGATTTATCAGGCTCAGTTGAATCATAAAAATTGATCTATTGCTCTTTAGTAATGTAAATCAAATAGAATTCTTGTTTATTCCTTCTGATGATTGTATTAATTAAAAACAACATTAAGTTTTTAACAATAACCATACTTTCCAATTGTGAAAGTTCAATAGCTGGAAGCAGTTACCTTAAAGTGAAGTTTCATTTGATATTTTTAAAGTGTTATCATAGAAAATAAGTTATGTTTTTCTGTATTTGTAACTTTTAAAATGATTATCAATTCTATTTTATTTCAGGTTTGTGTGTCAGTCAAAATGAATGCTGAATATGCCAATGAAAATAAGAATAGTTCTCAATTATTTCAAATATCATCAGGTATAATAATAATAAAATAATGTAATTAATTATGTATTTATTGAGTAAAGAGTAATAGATATTATTTTAAATTTCATATATAACTACTTATACCTGTAGAATTGTGATTTTATTTTTATTACTTTGAATTAGATTCTGAAGAGAGCAGCACCTGTACTGCTTTAGAAAACGATAATTTTGGTTCATCCGATAATATTTGTAGAGAATTCTTCCTTAAGAAGTGTAGAAGAAAACTTTAACTCCAATACAAATACTAATCTTCTATACAAGCAAGTGGAATTGCTTCAACCTAAAAAACTAAGAAAAGAAAGATAATGCCAATGTGTCTTTCACATTGACCGAAAACAAAGAAGACATATCCAAACAAATTGTCAACAGCTTGATCAACATAAATCATGCACTGAAATTTCATCTTGAGTTAAACGTATTTGACATAAAAAAATAAAAAATATTAGTATGGATGACAACACTGACAGATGCTCCCCGTATATAATTGATATAAGGATTTAAATGTTACTTTCTTTGATAATTCTTTATATAATCACGATGTCTCACTTTTTATTTTGTTTTCTTTTTTTATACAGGCAAGGTGTAATTTACTGTGTTTTATAAATATTGATAATTACTTTAGAGAATTGTGTTATTTTTGCATGGAAGAGGAGACTGTGGTTGCCTGGCATATTTTGGCTAATTGTGGGTGTCTTTAAGGTGTTACGAGAAGGAGTTTTTGGTTACATTGTTCTTTCCAGGTTTTTTTTTTCTTAAGATTTTATCCGAACCTTTTTTTCAAATTAAAGTATTTTATTTTCTGACAGTCTGTTGATCTTTTGTTTTAGGGATGTGTTTTCTTTGGTTTCATTGATGGTGTAGTTTGGCAAAATCTATCAGTGTTGTCATCAATACTAATATTTTCTTTTTTATAGGTAATGACAAATGCTCTCAAATTTAAATCTAGATTTAAGCTAATTCAAATGTAATTTAATATTGTTATGTATTTCTGTTTTTGTGATTTTATGATCAATGTAATTATGTGATTTGTATTTGGGAGATGATTTCGGCTCCTCATCATGGAAATCTCCAATATGCATAAATAAATATAACTTTCAGAAAAAATTTACTCAGTTATCTGCGGTAAACAAAAAAGGAACCTTTTACACTCGGTGTGATAAACCCTTATGTAAGATAACTTTTGTAAATATAAATCAAATAATATAACAGAAGGGTTAGAAGTGTGAAATAATTAATAATCTTAATCTTAGTTGTTCATACTTTTGCTGTAACAAATTACACAATCTATATTTGGCCTATCGTAAAAAAAGAACGACCAAGTATTGGGCGAGCTTGACCAGATATTCGACATTTTAAAAAGTTTCCATTAGAAATTTAACTGTTTATTTTTTAAAAACATTAACCATCCTAGCGAATAAAAATGGTGGTACCAAAATCTTCCAACACGGGTATTCATGCCCAACCCATGAATATTTTGTGGCACATTGTTCGTTGCGCAACATATTTATCTACAAATTCTATTTAGAAACAGGTAAATACTCTTTATTATTATCTTTATCATCATCATAATCTTCATTATAAATGTATTATTAAATTATTTTGTATTAATTTCATGTAGAAGAAGAATATAATTAGGGCAGTTTAATAGTAAGTAATGTTCTTTTTATGATTTTATATTTATAAGTTTTTAAATTTAGTTATAATATATTTTATTTTTAGAAAAAGGAGAAGATATATTTGTGTTTTGAAAACAAACCAATTTTTATATTTTAAATTAGTTTATTATTTTTCATCAAAGTACAATAACGATTACATGTTATTGCAGAAGGGTTTGATATACAAAACTGATTTTTTACAAAGTTTTTTTACAAATTCATTGTTAGAAAATCTGTAGTATACACTTAATTCCATTAAACATGGAGTTAATTTTATACAGAAAATACAAACAGAATTATCTCCACATTGACAAACACAATCGAAACACAGGAACTAACGTCTTCTTTATTAATTTTCGATGTTGTCTTTTTAATAATAATTTTACTGGTTATTAGCGTTCACAAATTTTTATAAAACCTGTCTCTACTCCCAAAATTAAGCTTTTTGTCATTATATAGTAGTTAAAATTATAAAAAATTTTTAATAATAAAATATTGTAACAGATGGTGCAATGAAATGTAGTCTGTAAAGTTAACCAACTTGTTCTGTTTTTAAAATGTGATTTTGCATTTTTTTAAATCACTTTGCAGCAATAACATTTGATCTGACATTCAAGCAAAATTTAAGTAGTAAGAAAATAGTAAGAATATGAATAGATTTGCAAAGTAAATCTCCAAAAAGTCTGTATTCTCTTTGTAATTGTAATTTCCTCTTCTGGTTTCTCCTATTTTAAAGTTAAATTGGGATTTCGTAATGTCTCTCTGGTTCTAATGATTAATACTCTCCAGTATAAATAATGATTTATACAAAACTTTAGAATTGATCCTTCGTTTTGCACTTCTGAAAAATAAATTAACATCAATAAATTAATTAAGGCAATGTTTATATCCGTTTAACAGAAAACGCTAATTAGGTTTTCCATAAAAAAAATCCAGCAATGAGAGTTGCGTAACTTTCCTGGCTTTTCTGAGATTTTATTTTAAAAATAACATTATTATGATTAATGAAAATAAATACAATTGTATGTGGTGCCATCTTTTATGAGATTTTGTTATAATAACTTTATGTATTTTAAATTATAAAATAGCAAAAGACTTAATTTTGAGAGTAGAGATGATTCTTTGAAAACACTAATTGCTTACAAATAAAATCGTCATTAAGTCTGAACCCATTGCAAGATATAACACATGACCACCCTCTCTCTCTCCATCCCCTCACCCATTCGCAAACAAAATTTAATATAATGAATGCATCTTGTATACAAGCTACCCAGTGAAATTTTGTTGCTTTATCTCTATTCAATCCTAAGATATCAAGCGAAATAGACTCAGATATGCACATGCATTGATCAATTTTGTTTTTTTTTGTTCAGGGGGTACCAAAACTGGTGATTTACAAAAGTTGATAAACTTTTTAACTATTAAAAGACAATGGAATCAGCTGGTGGTTCCTTATTGCAATTGACAGAATTCTTCATTGATACTTTTACAAAAATAACTTTGAAGAGATTCACAACAAAAATAAAGTAGCCCCTAGTTATATTGCGCCTTTTTTTGGTTCCCAAATTTTTAAAGCACTCAAGTAAATAAAACTTAAAATGTCAATTGCCATTGAATTTCTTTTTACAACAAAATGTGGTATTTTATTCCTACTATTGTCCTCGAAACTACCACTGCAAGTGAAACAATAAATTTGTCAAATTTAAATAAGCAAAATGGGTGGACAGCTCAATTATCAAATGTTTCTTTTTGATATTAAAAGTTGTTCATTGATGGTTTTAAATACAATCTCCTCATTTACAAGTTTCTGAAGCGACAATTTTACAGCTTTATATGAATTGACCCTATTGTGTCAATTAAATAAAGGTGTGAAATTTCGAATTCACAATGTAATGTGTAAGGAAAATATTTCTTTATTTCTGAATGGAAAAATCTGAAATTTTTATACTGTAGTAACTTTATTTCACTTTTTAGAGAATTTTTACTCTGTAATTTTGTAAGTTGTGATGTATTATATGTTCAATATTTATTTTTTAAATTTTCAATTACTGTATTTATATTTCTATTTTAAAATATAGTACTGTATAATAAAATCACAACTGATATTTTGTTTTTATATCAATAGCATTTGTCTTTAAATGTGATTGTTGAAGAAATAATAAAGCCAAATGGGCATATCAATGTTTATGTAGGCATCATTTAATACGATATAATTACGAATAAATTTCAGTATTGCAAAACTAAGTGTATTTTATGAGAAACACTTGCTGTTGTAAAAACAGACGATAGAGATTCCATGGTATGTATAAACTGTTCAGTAAAAGCATAGAATTTTTAATACTATGTTATGTTGCGTCCAAGAAAGTTGATATAACGAGGGGCTACTGTATTATGAAATGCCTTAACATTTATAAATTTCATAATTGAACTTTAGACTATTTACAGAAATAATATTTTTAAGTCTATCTTTTAATCCTTTTGCACCACCATAGAAGTATGGTGAGAAGAATTCTTTGTGTTTTTAATGTAAAAGTGTCAGACCCTATAATAAAAGGCTGACACTTAATTGTTATTAACATTGTGAATTTTTTTTACCTATTTTTACCTTTGTTTAAGAAGTATATTCTTCAAAAACTATTGTAACTGTTACTTCTATGATGGTGTAAAAGGATTAAAGGATAGACTAGAAAATATTATTTTTGTAAATAGTCTAAACTTCAATTATAAAGAAAATATATCTTGAGTCATCACAAAAATTTAAATTTTCTTGAACTATTTCACTTTATAAATTTCATATTTAATTATAAGAATACAAAACAGATTGAAATGTAGATGGTTCTGGTAACTGAATTCATATATTACCTCTTGTTTGCATGCTTTCTGGCTATTTCGATCCAAAATAATTCTTTATAATAGTTTAAAAGTATTCATTCTTATTCAATAATATTTGAATGAAATTTTATTTTTCAAATATATTTCTAAAAATGTACAGAAATTAATATTACATAGCACCACTTATTATTATCATATATTTTGTTTTTTTTTTACAAAGTTGACAGTATAGAGAAACAAAGTAAATTCAAATTGAAATAGAGAACAGGTAAATTGTTTTTATAATAATTATTGAATAATTCAATGTTGTTTCCTGATAAACCAAATCTTTTAGGAAGAAATCAAAGGAAACATGTTCAGGTGTTTTCCGGGTGTTCAACTAACACACTTTTTTGTATCAATAAAATACACTAATACCTGATTTACTTACTTCTAAAAGTCGCAGATGAAACTAGTTTCAACGTTGTAATTAGACCAATAATTTTAGAAATTCTTTTTTGGATATTTCACGCCACAAAATTACAACTTGGTATAAAATATTAAAATTAAAATGAAACGAATTTGAATTAATGAATATATATATATATATATTTCATATGTTTAAAACAATTTATTTCATACGTATATATATACACGTATGAAATAAATTGTTTTAAAAAAGAATGTACGTCGTCATTCTCGTACCTGATTTCATCCAGACTTTGTTACTTTCAGATTCACTAACAACCAGTAAAAAGTATTTTTGTGTAATAAATGAAGAAATGTTTCCATAAAAACACAAGAAGAATTGAAGGATGTGTTCAACTTCTGTTGTTAACAGAACACTAAAATTGAACTCAGTGTTAGAAACCTACACAAGAACATAACAGAGAAAACATCTTTCGTACAAATGAAGAAAAAAAAATCAATGAAGATATTTTAAATTATTTTCCAAATACTTTTTTTGCTTTTATTTTTGCAAAATACACATGATGTAAATTTTTTTCACGAAAATTGTATAAATTACATTAATTTGTGATATATGTTTACTGGTAATATTTGTGAACACTGGTGTGTGCAGTAAATCTATTATATATATATATATAGCATTTCGACCTAGCTTTAAACTAAATTTTAGTTTAGTTTAACAATATTTTATGTAAATGTAAGTGTACTAATTTTATTTATATATTTTTATATTTGATTAACAATAAATGAAGGAGGGTTTATCTTAAGACTGCTCTTAATATATTTATCATATTTTACAGGTTTAAACAATCAGAACTCAAAGAATGGGCTTTTCTCTTGTCAATTGTGTAATCGTAACTTCAACCATCACAGTAGTCTACGTTACCACCTCAAGACTCATATCAGAAAGAAACCTTTTGCCTGTTATCATTGCAAACGATGTTTTTCAGAAAAAAAAAATCTGATTCAACATAACCGAACTCACACAGGGGAAAAGCCTTTCCGTTGTGAACTTTGCAAACGAAGTTTTACACAAAAATGTCATCTAATAAATCATATTCGTCGTGAGAGAGGCCATTTGCGTGTAATTATTGCTTAAAAAAGTTCCATTCTCAATCTCATTTAAACTATCATATTATTAAACAGCATACTATTAATGTTGAATAATGATATTCTTATGGAGTAATATTTGAAAAACAAAAATTAATAAAAATGATTGACTGATTGCATTTCTTTGAAAAATATTTAATACTCGTTTAGATTTTATTCATTCTGAAAACAACAAATATATGTTTTATTTCTTGATTGTATAACTTATTACATTTTACATAAAACAATTGATTTTATGGACGAAAATAAAGTGGTTTGTAGAATTTGGAATAAATAAAAGTTTAGGATGTATTTTTACTATTTTAAGTGTGTGTCATTTATTTAGGACTAGCAGACCCAGCCACGCGTTGTTGTGGCTCAAAATGTATCTATTATAAATTTACAACACTTCCCCCGTGGGGGGAATTTTTCGAAAAATTTCTTCTTAGTGTACATTCTCTTGACGTACCCTATTAAAACGCAATCAAAAACGCAAAAACCCGCATCTAAAATAGTATAAATAGAAGCAGAGTTCTTTACTGTAAGCCTTAATCCTAACCATCTCCCTTTAGTGGGGTTGAATTTCGACATGTATATTATATAAAAACACGTGCGTATTCGAATGCAGCGTTGTGTCAAAATTTCAAAGGAATCGGTAGGAACAAACGAACATTACATTTTTATTTATATAGATAGATAGAAGATGATCTGCTTTAGTTCATTTTCACAGAAAAGCATAATGCCTCACAGA